ACGGTGCAATTTTTGCCAATTGACCTCTGAGAATGTACCTTGTCTTCACACATGACTCAAGATACTTCATCTTCTCATCTGTAACAAGACCAGAGTTCCTGAGACATGTAAGAATGCAAGGTTCGTTGACAATTGTTTCAATTGAATTGTAAATTCCATACCTTGTCAAGTCAATGTCAGACTTATTTATGAACGGGAAGTATCCAGCATGTTGTCTGACTGCTTGAGAGTTAGGTTGGTACCATTCGAACTTGACACTTGCAATTCTTTCAATTGCATTCAAAATGTCTGAGTCGGAGTCAACCATTTGTTCTCTCTTTGTAGTCTTGAAAGCGTCAAGAAGTTTTGCGGCTGTTTGTTCATTGCCATGTGCATAGTAAATGTGACCATCCAAATCTGTTATGGTCAATCTGAGATTGTGTCCTTTCTTATTTCCGTCTTGAATTGCAGCAAGTACTCCCATGAAGCCTTCTTTGTTCTTTCCTTCGTCAAAGTCTACTGTAAAGGTTCGACCAGATGTAATTTGACTTCTAACTTCACGATACTTTTCATATGCATATCTTGTTCTTTCCATGGGAGCATGTGCGTCTTCACCTTTTCCTTTTTTCCTTCTCAAAGGATGCAATTGTTCGTCATGTTTCCAGTAGAATCTGGCAAAGCCGTCGTGTCCTTCAACTTGAGGTTCACTAACATCGAAAGGCATGTCCATAAGACGTTCTTCTTCTAACCTCTCTAGTCTGTTTGGATAATTGGCACGTGCTGTTTCCAAATCTAATTCGTAGGTCAGACCAGCCAGTTTGTCATAGACTTTTATGGGTCTTCCTTTCTTATATTTAAACTTCTTCGAAACTCTCCAACCATATCTTTGCAACTCTGCTTTTATTCTAGCAGACTTTCTGTCCATTCTATATGGGGGCATTTTTATAAAAATAAATTTTTTTTTCTTTACTTTACATAACCGCCTGCTGCCATAAGTCTTTGACGCCAACCCATACCAGCTAATGAAGGTTGACTTGGTTTAGTTTGGAAACTAAACTTTGGTTTTGGTTTATCTTCAGTTTTTGGTTTCTCTTCTTCTATCGGTTTTTCGTCACTTTTCGGTTCCTCTGACTTTACTTCACTTGCAGGAACAGTTGTGTCGTCAACATCTTCATAAATATCATATGCCATTTGTTTTTGTTTTCCTTTCAACTTTTTGTGTTTGTTGTAAAGTTTAGAATATTTCGACTCTAAGTCAATGAGATGTTCTATAATGAACTGTTGGTCAGTGAAGTAAACTTTTCCATCTGTTGTCTCGAAAGCTCCTTCAGACTTCAATATTTTATTTGTGAGAGTCTGTTTCTTTTTTGAGATACTAGCCGTTCCATTTCTATGAAAAGTGACTTTATAGTTAGGGTTTGTATTTCCAGACCTGGCACTTTCTATTATTGAATTTTTCTCTTCATCTGTAAGTTCTTTGACAGGTTTTGACAATGGTTCTGAACTTTTTGTTTGTGGTGTCAAATCTACCGTTTCAACTTCTTCGGTCATTTCATCTCAGTAAAAAATTTTAGTTTGGTTTGTTTTCAACTGGTTGTTGTTGTGGAGGTGGAATGGTTCCTTTAATAATATCATTCAGTTTCACATGCTGAGCCTGACTATATGGTATCGGTTTAAATGCTGGAAGCCGACAAATACATCTTGAACTCATTTGTCTCAATGCTGCATTGTTCATTTCATCCTAGTTAAAAACCTTACATTTCCCAAGTTTGAGGTGGTTGCGGTTGGTTATTGTTTACCCATTGTTGTGCATGGTTATATCCTCTGTTAAAGAATCTTTCACCTTGGTCCATATAGTGTCCTGCTTGGTTATAGTAGTCATTTGCTTTGTTATAATAGTTTCCTGAGTTAGTATCTCTAAGTCGTGTACTGAGGCACTGCGCGCCTCCGTACACCACTTAGCGGTTTTGACACTTTACGAAACCAGTAACGTATATTTTACAACACATCTATAACACCAACTTAACCTTAAATATTTACAAAACCATCTGACACATAAACGACTTCACTAACGACTTCACTACCGTCCTCACTAAATAAAAAATAACCTTATTTTTATTTTTTTAAATTTTTTATTTCATTACAAAGACATGTCCGACTACATTTACTATGACTCTTTCCCAGAACGTTTCCGTGAACTATTCAAAACTCAAGTAAAACTGAGAAACATGCATTTTAACAAAGACAGACCCATTGACGATGAAAGAAACCCTGAATATATTACAATCCCTTATGACGCAAAGTTCATTGCATACATTCCTTATGGTCGTAGAGAGAACGAAAACTATTTCAACAATGACGAAAAATTATTTCTGGAGCGATGAAGAAAATTGCCTTATCTACATAAATGCATACTTAAATAAAGCTACATATTGTACAAAAGAAGGTTGGACTGGATTTGAGCTCTACATATACGACGACGATGGAAACAGACGTTGTGTATACCCATACGATAATATGTACCATTGTTTTCATCAAGCATTAAACGAATACATAGTCAGTAAGGGTCTCATTCCTGTTGAGTAGATATGCTTTATTTTTGTTCCCACATTTATATAAAAATAAATTAAAAATATGATATCACCACCCCACACGTATGAAAACATAGCCAAAAATAAATTTAGGTGAAGTGGTGAATCTCACCTCTTTTTTCAACCTCTTTTCACCCTGTTGAATTCATTGCTTTATAACTCTCTTCCTTGGTTTCTTTTTAGTTGCTTTCTTCACGTCTGTCTCCAACTTGACTGTCTTTCTTCTTCGTCCGTAATGATACCAGTTACTTCCACCAGTCAATGGGTCAAATGGTCTTTCGTAAGGGTTTCCATACATTCCATAAGGCCGTATGGATAAACTACTGGTGGAGAAGAAACATTTTCTTTAGTTCCATCGAATCTATTTAAATGCATTGTTTCACCTTTCATCTGGTCATTAAAGTCTTTTGCGTGTTTTGCAAACTCATCGTCCTTTCCTAAAGCATTTTCTGACTCAGTCGCAACCAAATTGGATGCTTTATTTATGAGCCCTATTTTATTTAATCTTAACTTCTTTGCAACCCAGCCTCCAATCTTCCCTTTATTTGCATCTAATGTCTTCGAAACCCTTCCTCCACTCATTTTATTTACTGCGTCATAAGCTCCAAGTGCTTTTGCTCCAAATGCTAATGCTTTTGTTCCCATTGCGCCTAAAGCTGCCCAAGCTACCATTTACACCATATTAAAATCATCTCTCTTCAATATTATCTCATAAAAGTTCTCGTTACTGGAGAAAGTCAATGAAACATAAGCGTTCTCACGGGCTTCGCCCTCACCGCTTTGCGGTCTATCTAACTTCTTTCTTATATCATCTATACGCTTCAAAATGTCTGAACAATTGCTAACATCTTCTACAACAGTTATTTCATCATGAATGACCTTCAAGAACAAGCTCATTTAATATGCAATTAAAATCATCTCAATAATGAGTCCATCCTTTCCGTCTTTGGTAGCACAACATCTTTCATTGAAGAAGGTTCGACAAGTCTTATGTTAAACTTACTGACAAAGTTTGTTATACTATAATGCTTCGGCGGCGAATACATGTAGTTTGAAAGACATAATATAGATTCTTCAGCAAATTCACTTATACTGGATTTTATAACAATGTTCTCACGAGACCAAATACCACCAATTGACAATCTTGTAAGCAATCCTGCTGAACCTTCTACTGTAAACGTCGATGGTAACATTCCACGAAGGTCATCTATTGACATCTTTGAGTCACTGAATTTAAATATTTTCTTAAAGCAATCGTCATTATCTAACCATGCAATAGCTTTGAAGTTTTCATTCGAATATACATCTGCTTCATTAAATGTAAAACCTGACTTCTTTGCAGAGATGACTTTAAAATCTATTGAGTTTGTTTCAAAATTATATGCTATGGTAACTTCTGAAGGTAATGGATGCCCTTCCGCAGTCAGTTGTTCTCTCACTACCGTTTGAAGCTTTGTATTAAAAACTTTCATGTCATCTCCTGTATCTAAGTTCACATACACAGCAACAGGGAAACTATCTTGCTTCTTTGTTTCATCATTATATCTCAAAACATTAAAGTTCTTCAATAATATTGTTCTTCCTGCTGGAATACTTCGAACCTGTCTGATTTCAATAGCTTTCTCACCTCCTACATACTCTACCCAGTGTCTTGGATATTCATAAGTATACTGACTTTCTTGAATTTTGGTTGGTTTCATCATAACATGTTCATAGTATATCTTTATACTCTTGTCAGTTAGACTCGGTGCTATGTTCTGAATATTTCTGACTTGCATTTTTAATGGAGATAAAATGAAGCATTTAATACATGACGTAGATGAAGACATGAATGAAAGCAGTGAAAAGCTCAACAGTTCTCTCATTCTTCCTTTCAGTAAGGACTATGAGTTCTGTTCAAATGGCGTTTATTTCTATTGTGGAAAGATGGGGTCAGGAAAGACATTCAACCTCATTCGTCATATACTCATAACAGAACGTTTAGGAAATGACGCATATTATGACCAAATCATTATATCAGCAACTTCAGACTCTATGGACTCAACAGCGAAAACATTTATGTCAAAAGTTCAAGCCTCTGTCGTTAAAGTTCCAGACAGTGAACTCATTGAATTTCTTCAACGTTACATTCGACGTAAGAGGAAATATTATGCCATCGTTGAATTTATACAGTCAGGAATGCAAAAGACTTCTGAGGAGATGGAAAGAATTATTGACAAACACCACTTACGTCAATACTCAGGAGTTTACGATATGAAACGACTTACAAACTACATTCTATCAAAACTTTCAAAATACCCCTTCAAAAAGTATCCTTCAAACACTCTGCTCGTTTGTGACGACTTTGCCGGAAAAGGTTTAGTGTCAAAACCAGACTCACCATTAGCTAACATCATTACTAAAGTCAGACATTACCATTTAACTGTAGCAATACTTATGCAAACATGGAGGTTTTTAGCTTTAAACATAAAACGTCTCATAACTGACTTCGTTATCTTTCAAGGTTTCTCACGCTATGATATTGAACTCATTTGGAAACAGTCAGGTATAACATTACCTTTTGAAGAAATTTGGGAAGCATATAAGTCTCTCATCTCTCCTCGTTCATGTACATAACCGAAATATGACTAATACCATTAAAGTCAAAAATATTCCATGGGAACGACCAACATTGTTTTAAAGTTTAACCTTCAATTGACTGATGGTAAACAAATTCCATGCATCTCTGTCGCCATTTCTGTTAATATTTTTGCTGTCATTCATATCATCCACTTCCCCATCCGTTAGCTTTTGAGGATATGCGTTAGAATAGCTGTTCTTAAATGAAGGCTTTTCACCTTTGAGAGCATAAACTCTATAACTTTCTGCATACTTTATGTTTGAACCTCCTGAGCCATCATTGACATAAATTTTTATAGGCTTCCACCCTTTGTTCATGTTCCTGCTTCTTCCCTTAGCTCTTTTGTTCAGTAGTTCTACATCTTTATACACAGCACCTGTCTCAGTGAATTCAACAATATTTTCATTCGTTAGCTTTACATTCAAACCCTTGTCGAGTATATTGTTCATTTCATACATATAAAAGGTTTTTATTCTATATGAAATGAGAAGCAAATCCATCTTAGCTGGTGCCGTTAATGTTCCAATTGAACCAACATCAAATGTTGACTCACGAACGACAAACAATATTGTCATAAAGAACTATAGTTCGGAGTGTTTGAAAGAAAAAGAACCAGAACTTAAGTCGGTGAATTTAAACACAGCTTCAAACGCTAACGCTACATCAGATGTTAAGTTAGAGTATCCACCACTGGACCAAATTCTTTCAAGAGAAGCCAACGACAACCTTACACAAATGTTCAAACAAATCCTTCAGATAACGTAGACCATTACCTTCTTCAGTTATACCAAACAATTTTACTCAAAGACGATAAGAAGCTTTTGACAAATCTTATAAGCAAGAACCAAATAATTCTAACAAAGGAGGACCTTGAAAATGTTATCTCACGAATAACAGGGAAACAATGTGTCATTGACTATCTCGACCCTGAAATCGAATGCTGTGGTCAAACTCCACTATTCATGAAAATAGGTAACATCCGCATCATTGAAACACCAGGAACTACAGGAGTTGAGTTTAAGTATAAATATTCGAATGAATATACAAAACTTCTACTGAATATAAACTTTGCTTGAAATATGTTTTAGTAAATTAAAGCAGTCAGGACCTTCGGTCTTGGCGCTTTGCGCCGTCAGTCAAAAAATTTCAAGTTAGCAATTTGTAATATCTATCCAAAACTTCTTCAACAGTATCGAACTCATCTTCATAATGCAAACCTAATCTTATTGACTTGGTGCAGTTTTCACTAACACAATATTTTTCTGTTCTCTTGACTGACATAACTAACTCATTTGTTTCATCAAACAGCAACAACCAAAGTTCATGACATAATACATAACATTCATACTTTATATTTTTAGCTCTGAGTTCTCTTGTAAGCTGTTGCATTTAATATTTTCTAAAAAGTCAACTTCAACAGTCATTCGCACTGGTGCCTTCAGTTCTACAGGCTCTCCTTGAAAGTCAACAAGTCTGAATTGCATGTCTTTCAAATTATGAGGACTAATGCGAACCCATTTACCTAAATGAGTTGCTATGACAGGAACGTTTGGAATGAACATTGAATTGACTGCATAACAGAAAGACTTATATTCTACTGAACCTTTACTATTAACTCCTGAAATACCTGTGACATTAGCTATTTTAGACTCAATGTACAAACAATTGCCATAACATACGTATGGAACAGATTTCATCTCAATCGTTTTGTCAACACTTTTCAAAGGAAATGACATATGGTATGCACCCAGAAGCAATTGAACTCTATGACTCATTCATGGTATCTTAAACTCCTTCGCATAACTGAACTTCAAAACTCCTACAATAAGTTTAACATTCATTAAGTTTTCTTCGTTATCCTTGTTTATTGTAGTATTTATGAGAGCATTTAACACTCCAGCTAATGTTTCCATCTTATATTCTACATTATTGTGAAATCTTATTTCGTGCTTCTTTCCATCTATTTCAATCTCCATGAAATCTGTTTCATCTGTTATAACGAATGAAGCGATAGTATTGAAGTCAACCATTCTGAATGCAAGCGCCTCATTCTGTAGACCTAAGTTTGTTTGTAGCTTTACTGTCCCGTATTCGTTTGGGTCTGTACTTTGCAAATAGAACAACATTTTATTCTCATTAAAATATGAGTATAGCTGCATATGCGTATGAAGCTGACAGAGCTAAACGTTTATATTTTGGTCAATACTCTCTCACACTTACTGACAAATATATTGTTATCACTGATGGAAATACTGAGAAATACATAACATGGAAGGACTATGAAAAGTTTGACCCTATTTTAACTCCATGTACTATGCCGTTTATAAAGGACGGTGAAATTATTGAAAAAGATAATACAACCGTATATAGGTCTGTTTATGAAGCATTAGAATATATGTTGAATCATAATCCCGAAAGATTTGATCCAAGCACTACGTCATGTACTATGCCGTTTATAAAGGACGGTGAAATCGTAAGAGTTCCGGATTCAACGGTTTATACAGCTGTTCAAAACAGTTTACAAAACATTTTAGCGAATATCTTTAATTCAGAAACTACAGAAATAAAATTACCGTATATAACAGATGCTAAAGAAATTAAATCAAAAACAACAACATTATTTGCATCACTTAATGATTTAATGACTTATATCATTAATACTCCCCAGCCGACTACAGCATTTGATCCAAACTCAACGGTTTGCAGTGTACCTTTCATAAATGACAGTTCATTAATTACTTTAAGGGATTCGACAGTAAATGAATCATTAAAGGCTTCATTAATGAAAATCATTGATTTTAACTCATTCATGAATACATATAATTCATTCATTAATGTTTCATACACTTCTAAAGAAGGTGAGCCAAAAACTATTGATAAAGCGGTGTATGAAATAAAAGCATCAATGACGAAATTGAATTCGTTAACTTTTGACGGTGATAGTTCCGTTAACGGCATGACATCGGGGAAAACGATTTTAACGAAAGAATATTTAAAATCTCATGTTAGTGAGTTCGTTGAAATTGAAAAAGAAGGCGGAATTAAGTTCGATCCACTGAGTTTCATTTTCAACTTAGCGAATGCGGGTATTAGTTTCGCTGAATGGACAACTATACAGAGTGAAATAAACGCAATATGGACGTTTTTGGGGTCAAAAGCTGGAATGGATGAGCTTGTAAATGCTGCAAGAACATTAAGTGAAACGGGAAATTTTGTAGATGGTTTTAAAAGACTTGTTTCAAATGTTTTGACAAACACAAAGAAATTATTTAGATATACCGTACATAACGGACGGATTTTCGAACAGATAGCAACAAACCCCCCGGTTATGGCTGCGTTGATGATGGTTAGAGACATAAAACCACGTAGCGGTGAAGCCCATGAACAACAGGATACGGGTCGGGTTATTCGAGACATTAAAAACGTGTATCCTGAAGTTATTGATTTATTTAGAGGTGTTAATGATTCGATTTCAAATCATTCTATAACCCTCGATGAAGAGAATAAATTAACAGATTATATATTCGTCATTATTGCAGAATTAATGAAGAGAATAAATGAAAAAGGAATTGGTGATATCATTAATGTCAGCAATGTAATAATGAAAAGAAATTTTGACTCATTATTTACAAAACCGAAAACAGAATATAGTCTTTATGACGTAATTACCGAATTAATGAAAAAGATTAATGATAATAAGAGTTCTGGCGGAAGGTTTGAATTAGAAGTGAATGATGTTAATGAGAAATTAGCCGAAAAAGCAGACAAAAATGAGCTTTTAGCTCTGAGTGATAGAGTCAAGAACCATGTTCATTATATAACTTCAGATGAACAGATTATAACGGATTATCATGGATATTTAACACGGGATGAAGAAGTGAAGACGGAAGACCCTAATGAAAGAAGATATAAATACATTCGTGCTAAAGGTTATGACATAAGCTGTACTGTACATTATGACACGGGTAAAGCGCTAGAAGCATTTAGTTATAACGGTGAAATTTATGCCTCTACTTTCAATGTTAACGGTGTATTAGTTGAACCAAAATTTACGTTGAGAGTTAAGGCAAAAATAACGTTTGAAGATGCTATTAAAAGTAAAGCTGACAAAGATGAACTTGAAGCAATGAACAAAGTTTTGAAATCTCATAAACACAACATCTCCGATATAAATGAACTTCAAACTACATTAGACAGTAAAGCCGACAAGAACCATACACATAAATCCTTCACTACTGTTAGAGCAGACGACATAATACTGAACTATACCCTCGGTTCAAGTGCACCTTCAGAGAATCCGAGTACAAGCGTAAAAGATACACTAAACAATTTAGATAACAGTTGCAGGAATATCGAAGATCATGCCAGAAACTTTGAAGCATATGAACTACCAACAATGTTAGATAAGAAAGCCGACAAAACTTATGTAGATGAAAATTATGCAAAGAAGTCGGAAGTAAATGCTGCGCTTAATGGAAAAGCCGACAAGAACCATACACATGAAGAATTTCAAACAATCAAGATTAAAGAAATTAAGGCATGCATCGAAATAGTAACAAAAACAGGAAGAAACGGTGCAACTGTACAAGAACAAAGAATTTATCCTCCTACTTTTCCTAATGGTTTAATAACAAACAATATAAATATTGTAGAAGGCAATAAAGCTATAAACGTTAAACATGAACTTCTAACAATGAAGGCCCAGATTCTTCAAACCATATATCCTGTTGGTTCTATTTATACGTCAATGAACTCAACAAATCCAGCAACAGTTTTAGGTTTTGGTACGTGGAAGCAGATTGTAGATAAATTCTTATACTGTGCTAACTATTCAAAGCAAACAGGAGGTTCGAAGAAAATTAAAGAAGCAAACTTACCTGCGCATACTCATACAGGAACGACAAACTTTTCTGGCGACCATAGCCACTCATTAAGAGACCACCCATTATACAACTCAGACTATAAAGCTGGCAATGACGTTTTATCTCCATCCTATAACAATTCAGCAAAAAAGATTTTTCGACCAACTGAACCAGGAGGAAATCATGTCCATACTTTCACAACAAATCCAACAGGTTCGGGTGCAGATTATATGCCGCCATTTGTGACTATATTCGCATGATACCGCGTTCAATGAACGCGCTTGAGCCTAGAATAAAATCTTTAACTTTACATAAATGAGCTTGAAAGAAGTATTCGAACAACATCCATGGAGGTCATTTAAGAAGTTCAATGAAGCTGCAAAGAGTTGGGGATTTACTAACAGAGCTGAAGTGAAAAGGTTCTTTGACAAAAATGTTGTACATCAAACAAAAATAAACCCTTACGACTACTTTTTACCAATTTACTCCAACGCTCCTGACGCATACCAATTTGACACTCTCGTTCAAAGCAGAAAAGGAGGACATAAACCATTCCTCATCTTCATTAATGTTAACACTCGTAAAGCATATGCATATCCAATGAGGAATAAAGGAACTCATGAAGTTTTAAGAGTTTTGCAGACGTTCGTGGCAGAACATCATCCCACTTCATTAACTTCAGACCAAGACGGTGCATACCTCAGCAATGAAATCACAGATTTTCTCATTAAGCATAACATAACTCACTACACTACTGAAGACCATAACCATAACATACTCGGCATCATAAACCGCTTCATAAGGACTCTCAGAGATTTAAATCAAGAGCGAGACTTTACCGAAGAAACAATGAAACATTTTCTCGAAGTATATAATTCCTCAACACACTCTACAACAGGACATACACCAAATTCAATGACACAACAACAAGAAGAAAAGTATATACAAAAGAAACGAAGTCAAACACAAAATATCAGAAATTCAACACAATTTACCCTCATTCCTGGTACAAAAGTTCGTGTAGTTCTTGACGACAAACCGTTGACAAAGAAACGTTTAAGGTTAAGTAGAAACTATTATATCGTAGACTCTACGCAAGGTAATGGATATCTTATAAAAGCTGCTGACGACTCTATTGCGTTTTACCCTCGTCATAAATTAGTCGAAAGTAGTAATGGCAAACTTGCTGAAACCATTGACGAAGCAAAGCGAGGAGTGGTTATTGAAATACTTGGCTACAACATAAACGATGCCACTTATAAAGTAAGATATGAAGGAGGCATTGAAGATGTTATACCATCTAAGAACTTGAGAGAGTCAAAGCCAACACATCTGGGACCATTAGAGCGGGAGTACTGGAAAGATAAAAATAAGCCAGAAGAAGAATAAGAAAATTCTTCTAAACTTTTTCATTTTGTTGCTGAAAAATGACCAAATTTCATGAATTTTCATAAAAGATAAAAATAAAGTTAGTTTTATTTTTATTTATTTTTTTATCTCATATGTAAAGACAGTAATGTCAAACATTGAGTTTGAAACAGTTAGAAAGATTGACAATGACACCAAAGTGGTTAGAATTGGTGATTTAAACGTAAGATACTGTAAGAAATACAACAAATATTCTTTGTCAGACATTATAACACCATCTGGAAAGAAAACAAAGGACTGGGTTAGAATTGCTTCTACTCAGAAAATTTTGACAAGAAATCCTGAGCTTATGATATCAGTAAGATTCTATGGAACTACAGCATATCTCATTGACAAAAGTCTTATACCAATAATTCTTCTATGGATTGACCCTGTTGTTGGATATAACTTCATAACTTATGGTTCATTCGATACGGAACGCTGCAGTGAAGGCTTACTTTACATCGTTCAGAAACCGAAGGACTTCAATACAAAGAGATATAAGATAGGAAGAACATATAATATAACTCAAAGATATGACAGTACAGTCAATAGAGTCAAGGTTGTGTTCGTTAATGATATGAGAGCTGCAGAAACAGAACTACTTGAAAAGTTTGAGAAAATGTATGGTGCTCCCATGAAAGGTAAAGAAACGTTTGAAGTAGATGAGATAGATAAAGCTATAAAATTATTTGACGAAGTTGCTGAAAAATACATGTAAAGCGTTTATTTTTGGTCTTTTGTGAAAGTCAGAAAATAACACTAATTTTTCCTAACAAAATTTTTTATCTTGTATGTAAAGACAGTAATGTCAACATCAGAGAACACAACATCAGTTATAGTCCATGAAGCCATTAATGAAGAATATGAATACATACAGTATAACAAACAATTGAGACTCATTCGTTCAGTCAAAGACGATATGTACCAAATGCAGAGTATTTTGACAGTATGTTTTGCTCCAGAGAATAAAACACCAAATGAATGGTTTGAATTAAATAGCACTCATGAACTCCTCAGTGAGTTTGAACATGTAGAACTTAAAAAGATGTACCAAGACAGACAAAACTTACCATCACATCTAAAAGGTATATATGTTCATAAGTTCCTAGTTAGTTCAATAGCAATGTGGGCTTCACCTCGTTATGCAATCTACATACTTATGCTATTTGACGAACTTTGTACAAAGCAGAGAGAAGATATGATGAAAGAAGACAAAAGCATACAGAAAAGAATACCACGTTCGGTACCAAAAGGAAAGGAGAAGAGCTATAAGTATATGATTTACACTGAAGAGATGGAGAAAGAAGATGATAAAGATATGGTTATGTTACATTGAGTCAGAAGAAACAACAAGAGCTTTTATGACCTCGCTAAAATATATAAATCTGACAGAAACTGGTTCTTTCGTGAAAACTTACCGATTTCAATGACTCCGAATGAGCAAATAAAGGAAATTGTCAAAAATACTCTTCCTCAACCACACTATGACATCAAAGGTTGCACAATACTTACATTCAAAGAAGACTTAACATTACTGAAGGAAAAAATAACAGAATATTTCGACAACTTCAAAGAGGAAGAATGAAAAAAAATCTCGTCGGGTGCCACGTTAGGACCATAGTGGAGAAAACCATGATAAAAAACAAAACCCTTCGTCATTATTTTGTTTTTACCATTTAATTGTTTCCATAAACGCTCCATGTCGAACATAATTGACGAAGAGAGAATCGTCTGATCGTCAAGTTTATTTTGTTTTTACCATTTAATTGTTGTAAAATATCCATATGAAGACTAATCAAAAATATATTTTTGCTTAAATAGCTTCAGGGTCAATTTCTTCAACCATTTCACTTCCTTCGTCAATGTCAATAGAAGCTTCTTCAACCTTTGGTAAGAATTTCTGTATAACATCTTTGTTCGTTATTGTCTTCAGAGATGAAGGATAATATTTCACAACTACTTCACCCTTCTTATATTCTTTCTGTTCGGAAAGATTCATAGCAATACTGAAGAAGTCAACGTTAGAGTTCTTTATGACAGTATAATGAGTATCTTTGACATTCACGAAGAAACTCTTTTGTTTCAAAACTACTGCTAACTCTTGTGAAGTATAACGTTTGCGGTCAATGACGATAGCTAATGGTCTGACATACTGACCAAACTTAGATTCTTTCACAAACTTCTTGTTAAAGATAACATTAACATTTGAAGCATTATTGAACTCATTCTTGATGGCAGTAGCGAGAGCATTGTATGAAAAGAACTTGCAATCTTGCATGTGTTTCATTAAAATAAAAATATTAAATTATTTTGAAAAATAACTAAAAAAAATCTAATCTAATTTTTTCAAAAATATTTTTTTATTTCCTACTAAAGATGTATCAGAAGTTGTCTAAGTTAGAACACTCGGAAATAAAACAACTTCTTACAGAAGCTAATATAGATGTTGCAAAGCATTACGCAACAAACAAAAAAGCACTCGCTGACATCCTCAATGACTATAATGGTGCAATAAGTTATGATAGAATTCATGAGTTCATAAAGCCGCAACGCGGCGAGGACGAAGTCCATGCAAGAGCATTTCCTTTAAATGACGTTGCTATTGACTTATATCATAGACGTTCAGTACCTCATGAAGTAAGAAGAGAAATGTTTGACATAACAAATGCAAACGTTGGTGAAACAAGAAGAAGAGACGACACACTGAAACAACAGAGAAGAGAGATGTTTAAAAGTGCTATTGAACAAGTTCTCAAAGCTAATGATGTCATTCGTTCCATTGACGACAAACCAAAAGAAGGTGAGAGATGGTTAAAGAAAGATGAAGAGAATAGGAAGAGGAATGTGAAGACAGGCAATAGACTCATTGACTTTAACATCGAAGCTTTAGATGAACCAAACAGAGACTACTTACACAAACATTTCGGTAAGGTTTTCATGAGACTCATAGAGAAGATTAAAATAAACTCCCAACAAAGATGGATGGTATGTTATAAACTTGGTGGAAAGTATGAATGTTCTACGTTAAACCTCAATAATATTGGAACATTACTACATCAGCTCTTGAAGGAGAACTTTATATCAGAGATAGAAGCAAATGCTGCAGGTATTGTTGAAATGCACTATGACTTCTTCTTGACAACATAAAGAATCTTACCGAAATAAAGATGTATGATTTAACAGAATATGAAGGCTTAACGATGTCAGATGTAAAGAAAGGCAAACCAAAAAAGAGACCATATAGAGATGAAAGCACACTGACAAATGACCAGAAAGCCATTTTGGAAGCTCTTAAGCAAACAGGAAACCAGCACTTATAGAAAGCTTTTGGAAAGATAATGGTGAAAAGAAGTTTTATAAGAAGAGAAGCGGTCAGTTCTGGAAGTATCTTTGCACATTACCTATAAATCTTGAACGCTACCAAATCTTCAATGAACTGAACAAAAGAACTGCAACACTTATGACAGAAGACAATTGTTTCGTTTATGCTTGCATTCAGGCTGGAGTAGATGAAGAAACTATTGACCACATGAGAGAAGTCATTCGTGTTAGAGACTTTCCCCAAAGTAAAGTACAAGAAATTTCTGACGCAACAGGTATAGCATTTAATGTTGGTTACTTCAATGACTCAAGACATAATGAAATAAAGAGATACATACCAAAAGAATGTGAAACTGTTAGAACTATTGACTTACTTCTTGTTGAAGACCACTACATGCTAAATGAAAGATTACCAATGACAACATATTTCATTCGCAACTATATAGAAATCTTGAAGGAGTGTGGTGGAATGAACATTGAGAAACAGATGAAGATTTATACAAAGAGAGAGAACAAATATATTATTCGTTATGATAGAACAACACCGTTATGGGATGTTATGAAAACATTGTGGGAGTGCAAATATTTCGAACCTATTTCTTATGGAGAACTTTTCACATATACGACTGACTTATATAAACAGAACCTTGCACCATTTAAAGATTTGACATATGCTCCAAAGTATTGTGTACAACTGAAGAAGAGAGCAGAGTCAAAAGAAGTAAATAAAAATAAGTGCAAGTTCATTCCTGAGCACGTTTTCTTTGCTGACTTTGAGTGTAGCACTGATGGAGTTCATAAAGCTTTTAACATCTGTTATGACGGTGAAGATGGTTCAGTGAGTGAAAGCATTTGGGGTCAGAACTGTGCAACAGAATTTTTGAAACGACTTCCTGACAAGAGTTTAATATATTTCCATAACCTCAGTTATGATATAAACATCATCTTAAGACACATGACAGAAGTGAAAGGAACTCCCATCATTAAAGGTTCACGAACCATGCAGATAACTGGCTTATATAAAGGAAGGGCAATTATTATAAAAGACTCTTACAGTGTTATAAATAAGAAGCTTAAACTATTTCCTGAAATGTTTCATTTGCAGTGTGGTGAAAAGGAAGTATTTCCGTATCAATATTATTCAAGCTCTTTATTAGCAAATGACAACAGAACTGGTGTCATTTCTGAAGCGTGTAAGTTTATCCAGGATGCGGATACGTTCATGAAAAACATAGATTCCATCAAAGGTTGCAGAATAGATGAAAACCACTTCGACTTAGAAAAGTTAGCACATTTTATTGCAAACAAGATGTAAGAATTTTAAGAGAAGGTTTGTTAAGTTCCGCAATGACATATTGAACGAGTTTGATTTAAACGTATATGACTACGTTAGTATTTGTTCAATTGCTAACAAATTGTTTGAGAACAGAGTATACTTCCCGAATGGAAATCTTTATGACCTCTCAAATAAACCAAGAGAATTTATTTCGAGATGCATTCAAGGTGGAAGATGTATGCTGTCAGATAACATGAAACAAAAGAGCGAAAAGAAACTCATTGCTGACTTCGACGCTGTTTCATTATATCCATCAGCTATAGCAAGACTTTACTTTAGAAGGTATTCCAAAGGTTATGAAGAAAGAAATGTTAAGCACAGAGTATCTCATGAGACATTTATTCGATGACGACCAAAAGGAACCCATTGGTGAAAAGTTTATGTCTGGCTTCTTTGTTCTCATTAAGATAACAGAGATTGGATACATAGACACTTTCCTTTAATAGTTTGTGACCCTGAACTAAATCCAGACTTAACGTTCCCAGAAGTTCAAACACTTGCTGTTTAATGTATGTTGACCATATAACATTACAAGACCTCATAAAATATCAAGGTGTCAAATGTGTGTGAAGATACTATTACGATGGAAACAGAGATATTAGAATAAGAGATGAAGTAAAGAAGTTGTTTGAGTTAAGGTTAAAGTATAAGAAGAAGGAAATCCTTTGCAAGAAAATATAAAGCTCATTTCTGAACAGTATTTATGGCAAACTATTCTATCTCCTATTGAGTCAAAAATAACCATAGTAAATGACAAAGATGCTATAAGATATGCCATCAGAAACTACAACCATATAGTGAAGTTCGAAGGTTTGGATGGTTCAGATAAAACTATTTTCAAGCTAACGAAAAGCATTTGCAGACACTTTAACTTTTGTCCACTTGGTGTTAATATCTTATCTATGTCGAAGAGAATAATGTGTGAAGTATTCTGTACTGCTGAAGATATGGGACTTCAAATATTTTACCAGGACTGTGATAGCATGCATATTTTCAATGAAGACATACCAAAGCTTGCAGCAGAGTTTAAGAAGAGATACGGTCGCAAACTTATAGGAAAGAACCTTGGTCAATTTCATTCTGACTTCGCAGAAATAACACCTGGAAAACAAAGTTTAGCATACAAGTCAATATTTTGTGGAAAGAAGACCTACATAGACTTACTCACGAATGATTTAAATGAAGTTGCATTCCATGCACGTTGCAAAGGTGTCAAACAAGACGTCCTTGCTTTAACAGCAAATGAAATGTTTCCTGAAGCTATACAATGCTATTACACAATGACTATGGCCTTATGATTATGTCATTCTCTAATGGTATTGGACTATTGCAACTCCCATGGCTTCCTTATTACGAAACATTGTCCAAAATTCGACCAAAAACATTTGGATTTTATTGGTGCTTGTATTGGCTTTCTACATCAATATCTTCAGTCATATTCACTAAGATGAACTTGTATAATTTATCTTTTGTTTGGCTAGCTTTCATATGTTTGATAATTATATTTTTCTCAGTTTATCTAACGCTCTTCAAATATAACACGTGTAATACAATTCTATAATCATTATTATTTACTTTATGTTTGTATTTTGAAATAAACCTAAAATTTTACACATAATTTTATCGAATATTTTTGCATTGATATTGTATTTTTTGAATTTTCATCAAAACTTATCAGA